AGCAGCAGCACCTGCCAGGCCAGAGGAACTGAAACATCCTCACCCCACTCAGCTGTGTGCCTTCCTGAATTCAAACTGGGACAGAATTGCTACAGAGACAGCTGCAAACGGCCAGGGAGGAGGAGGTTTATTTATTCTGAGGATTGAAAGTGCCTTTATTTCCTAGGCTTTGCCACCAATAGAACAGCTCAGATTTTTCAAGGAGTATTTATCCATCCAATCTCACTTTAAGGAGAAGAGCCCAGCCTACTGTGAGGACACAGCAGTTTGTTTGTAACACCYTGTGAAGCTGTCAGAGCTGCTCCAGGCCTGCAGAGCCTCAGCCTCACCTTGCCCAGCAGCCTCTGTAAGGTCTGTGCAAGTTAAACTCAAGTAGAACAAAATTCTGGACCATTTCTCATGTTCATTTTACAGAGAGACTGGGTCTGACTGCTCCAGCTGGACAAAGGCCTTAAGGCTCACAACAAAAACCAAAATGGGTGTATCGCTGCACTTTTCACAACAAAATAAGGTACACTTCTACATTTGAATAACTTTTGCAACAACACTAATATTTAATCTGGCATAAAGAATATCAAATCTTCTCTTTGCCTTCAGAGCTCCTTTGGCTGCTGGCAGCCATTGATAACAATTTCATGCTACTGCAAACAAGCACTTCTGAAATTAAAGCCCCTCGCTGGTGTTGTCATGTGAGATTACAATTCCCAGTTAAACAAGGGTGCTTGAGGAGGATTGACAGAATAATACAAAAGATTAATGCAGTGTGTGTCATCTTTTTCAAGGTACCTCAAGTGTAACTAATGTGGYTTAATAAGAAAATGCTTAGTTTTACAGTAAACAAAAAAACAAACCTGTGTTTCAGCTCTGGTGATATTTAGTCCCTTTTTGCTCACAACAAACATTTCCACATCTCTATAGTTTTGTAATCATTAACACTCTGCTTATTTTAAGACTGAATTTCATAGCACAGTTGATGCCTTAATCAGCTCTAATATTGAATTGCTGAAGTTTACTCTGAGTCTTGAGAGTCCTTAAAAACATTAAGAATTATGTCTAAGTAACAATCAGAAGGCAGGAAAGAGCCTTTGTAAAAAAAATCAAATGAAAGTGCAGCACATAAAGCAATTAAGCCCTGCACAGAATTTCTGGTAGATTTTTCCAAACATTGACCAAGGGTTTTTGAAGTTATAACACTGCTGGAACAGACCCAGCAGAGTATTCACATCACAATTAGCTGAATATTCCCATAAGAATTGTGTAAGCTCAAAGATTTGACTTCTCACGAAGAAGTCCTCTCAGCTTGGAGTTCAGCAAACAGAGAATGCTCCAAGCCCTTGACCTTTYCCCAACCTGCAGACAGCTTTGCTATTTTTGCCTTGCAAACACCTACAAACTAGTAACAGTACCTGACAGAGAAACAGGATTGTGCAGGAGGGAAGAAATTGTTTTAATTTTCCATGAACATTTCTATTTCTGATAAATCATCTGTTAAGCTGAATTAGGATTTAAGTGGCACAATCACTAAACTAACTGAAAGTAATTCATTTTACTCCTTGGATAAAAATGCTAAATACAGCCTGAGTTTTAATGTGTAATTAAATCAGGCAAGACTTTATCTTTGGATTTGGTGTGTTAGCATTTGTGATGGTACCATACACACATAGATACAAAAAAAAAAAACCCCAACCCCACATTTTTTTCCTACTGGCCAAGCAATCCAAACCCCTTAATTTATTTCCTAACAACTGTGATGACAGCAGAACACGTGTAACCAGAAACCCAGTGGAGCAGAAGCTCTGTGTTCACCAAGAGGGAACAAATGGGCGCTGTGACAGCTGGGGCCACCGCCAAAAACATCTCCCAGAACAAGAAAATCTCACTTGAACCAGGAATGAAAGCAACCTCCCCCAGGGGAAATGAAAGCAGGAGCTTCTGTCCTCAGGAACCAAGAGAAAGAGCTGTGGGTAACGCCAGCCTGAATGGATGATCCTCAAAGTTCAATGTTTGCAACCAGAATTGCAACACATTAATAAGTAACTACAGGTAAGCAAAACTGAAATGATTTTTCCATCGAGGCACTGRAGGAGTTTGGATTTATTGCATCAGGGAGCTCCACAATTGTACTCGAGTAGTGCCAGAAGAGGCACCTGGACACTCTGAAAAGTTTCTGTTTCTGTAATAGTCCCCTTCACCCTCTCCTCCCACTCCACTTCCATCTTAAAAATCAGTGTGAGCACACAGCTGTCCACTACATCACACAGAACACGATCAAGAAATAGATCTCTTGCATTTGTTCAAGACACACAAAATTTAAGCATTGTTTCAGTTTGGTATCATGTTGAGGGTTAAAACAGCTACAGAAAAACTGATCTRAAGTAAATAAAACTGTACAAAAATAGCTGCCTCATTATTAATATTCACAAAAATTTTTCTTATTTCTGCAAAGTCTTTCTAAATGTGGTTTATTTCTTCCCTTTTTTCTTGACAAGGTGTTTCCACTTACTAACTGACTTTCTAAACTGTGAGCCTAAGTTTATAAGACCAAAAAAGAAAAAAATCACAAAGCACAAATTGTACTTCCAGCACAGAGGAAGATTTAGAGGACACAACACTGCATTAAAATACAAAACTGAAAGGGTATATTGTTTTCCATYAGAGCCTGCAAATATCCAGCACTAACTGGATGCCACACAAAATTTAAAGTGTTACTCTGCTCAAAATTCAGGTTTGAAAGCACAGTCTTAGACAGCCACTCTTCAAATATGCACGCCAATGGTCAGCTCTGCCATTTCTATTGAGCAATATTGTACAAAAACATATTTGGGAACATCAAATAATGTAATGATTTGAGAAGGATTTCTTGTCTAACATCCCATCATTATGACAGATATAAAAGCAGATTTAAAACACACCAAGACTCTTACCTGCTATACTTGCAAATATTTCACTGAATCCAATCAGCACATACTGAGGAAYCTGCCACCATATTGGCAAATCTGCAGCGTGGTATGTGACATTCCCAATTGTCTGGTTAATGGTTTTCACCTTTACAATTTTCAGCCTGTTGCTTTCCAGAATTCCTGTGTGAAAGAGGAGGGAAAAAAGGTTGGCCTAAGATGTAAACACTGTTTCTTCATGTTAAGAATTAAATTAGGATTCAKCCCTATATTGTAATTAGAAATATACAATAGGAATATGGATTTATTTCCTAACATAAAGCATTTCAGGCTACTTGTGCTATTGTTATTTCAAGTCAAACAGTTGTTCTGCCATAGAATTAGTGATTACATTCTTATTCAGTAGCTATAATTAAACACTTATCCCTTTTCTGGATGGATCAGCTGAGAGCTCTCATCCACCCCACTGTGTTGGGTTTTTTTAAARACAATCTCATTTTCACAAACTACTACCTTGCTATGTTGAACCATCTCAACTGCCACCACAGTATTCATAAATTAGAAACCATTCTGCTTATGGAAATGGCTACAGCAGTCCTGCAGAACTATGAAACCCCTCTATGAATATGATTATGACATTTATATGACACCTTTCATCCAAAAAGACCCAGGAGCTCATTAGAGCTTGATTTACAAGCAATACATTGCATAGAAAGTACTTGATATGGAATGAAAAAGAGACATGATAGTGTAAAATAGAAGCTTTTTTAGCTTGCTCAGCACAACAGTTTGGAGTAGAAAGTGAATATCAAATAATGCTGTAGGGTTTTGTTGAAGYTGCCCAGATTAAACGATTGACTCACTGTTACATAAAATACACACAATAGCTAATAGTTAATAAAACTCCCTGCTTCACCCAAAAAGGACCTCCATAAAAGAACTCTCATCTCTTCTCCTTGGAAATGAGGTGAATTTATTCATCACSGATTCAGAGGAGCAAGACTGAGTCAGTGCCACTGCTTCCCCCAGTACATGTTACACACAGCCCCCATTTGGTGCTGTCACTTTGGGGCTTTTTCTGCTCCCTGAGCCAAAACCTGACCTGATTTTCTCTCTCTTCCTCACTCCTTTCCAGGTGATCACTTACCCATCTTCCTTTAGCTCTTCCAGCTACTTCAGTGCCCTCTGAACTATAAAGAGCTGCAGTAATTAAAATAAAGCTGGATTTCTTGATGTTGTCATTTTAATRTAGCTGCCAAACATTTTAGAGTGGAACTTAATTAAAATGTAAACAAAGCAGAACAGTCATCTAAGAGCTCAGACATAATTGCATTTATTTCCATTCAACACAGAATTACTGCACCTCAAAACATCAAGTGATTTTTAATGTGTTTATACTCTTATAAAATAAGGATTGAGCCACCTAAGCATAACTACAATAAACCAAACTTTGCCATAAATTTATCTGCAAAGTACTTCAGAATCTGGCATCTATTGATTCTTCCTTTTAGACTTTGATAAAAGGTTTCACGTTTAATTTTACAGTCTTAGCAGTGAAGATTATTTTAACTTCTTGCTATAATGGTTTAAACTCTATAAATGAAGTAGATTTTCCAGTTGGATAACCTTAAACATTGCTGCTCAGAATTCACCATAAGATGCAYGAAGCACAGCAGATGTTCATTAAATCTAATCAGTTGTATTTTAACACAGTTTATAAAATATTTTAAAAATCTAAACCATCTAATAGGCAGCCTGAGTAGAGTCCACATCTAATGCCTGTTGGATAAGCAAGTGAAAATGGAATTATGGAACAAACAAATCATTAAGATATTGCCATGACTGCAAGCTCCTAACATTCTCATATGTTTAAAATTTTAATCAGTCTCTCTCTCTAAGGCAGAAAWGGTTGGAAGTAATAGTGTATTTTAGGAATGTTGAAATATGGCAGCTATAAATATCATTAATGAGAAAAGAAAAACTGAATGAAACATGGAAACCAACACCCTCTAGAAATAAACAGTTTCCTATACCCCAAACTCGTCACAACTGCAGCTTTTAAATTCCTGTTATGATGAAGAGATGTTAAGTTAYTCCAAAAGGTTAAACTTGCCAAAGAGATTGAAAAAATTCACCCCTCAGTTTCTACTGGGGAAGAGTTGGGGAGGATCAAACCAAGGAAATAATGTGTTACATTTGGAGGTGAATTGAAAGAAGCACTTGAAATTTTACAGAATTTTTTATGTGTGAACCCATTCCCCAAGTCCACGTGCTTTTCCCCACTACTCAGAAAGGCAGCCATGGCTGGGGTTGAATTCCCTTCTGTGTGAGCCCACAGGTTCTATTTAAAGAGCTGACATTTAACTGTTYTACATCATCCTCTTCTGCAGCAGCAGTGTCCTAAGAAACATGGAATAAGAGAAACACTCCTATTTTAACTTTAAATGACTTTGCTTTAAGAACTTTTCCCTGCCCACAAAGTGACCTTGGCCTAATAATTATCTCTCTCATTGAAAGAAATCTTAATAGCCATATAAAGTGTCCCTCTCCCTAAAATATAGGGGATCACAAGTGCTGAAATGAATTTATTTAATGCTATAATGCTTTATCAATATGTTCATTACAGTGATGCTGGTGAAGGCTATAGATTCTGTGAAGCATTGCTCAGAGAGCTTCAGTTCCACATCAGCAGCGCTGAACATCTTTAAATCATCTCAAAAGCAGCTGATTTATGGGTCCAGCAGAGTTGCCATCTTTTCCCTTTCATGCCACAGCTGAGTATTTTACACTACACTAATTCCCAAACATTAAGGAACACTCAGAGAGGGAAGAGAAAACCCAAAGTGGGAGGAAACTCTTTTTCAGCCATAACCTAACTTTATTATTTCAGATCGTGGAAAGGATTTTAGGTAAAATTTCCCCTTTTTTATATGTGGAAGTCAGAATGTATGAAGAAACATACTTATTTGTAAAGGGTATATTGCAAAGTCTGCTTGAGGCAGGAAAAATGCTCCAATTTTATTGCAAGCCTTCAAAACAGTTTAGTAAATTTTTGGATACAATCCCCTGCTTTGAGGGAAATGCATCCACGAAGTCACATTCCAACCATCCCATGAAAAAAAAAGATCTAAATAATGCTGAATTAGATATTCACAATGTTTTTTGAAAATGCTGTTGCAATGAGCAGAATAATTCACTGTGTCAGGAGATCTGCAAGTGGTTTCTTACCTGCAGCAAAGGCAGAGCACATCACGAAGAACATTCCAACTGCAATCCTCTTGAGYGAGGATGGGAGAAGGCCATTCCTCTTCAAAATGGGGTCCACCAGTTTATCTTTTAAGGGTATYAGGATCAGGATAAGCACTGCATCAAACATGGTCAGCCAGGCTGCTGGAAACTTAAAGGGGAGATGACTYAAGTTAGCAATTTCATACTTAGGAGTTGATTTTTATTATTATTTTACAAAAAGGAAAAGAATTTTGGTTGAACACTTTGATCCAAAATAAACCACAGTGCACTGACAGACACTGGGAAAAGACAAACAAGAGTTGTTTAAAAGCTGAGGAAAACAATTCACATGTTCAGGGCTGGAACTGGATGATCTCTTGAAGTCCCTTCTGACCCAAACCAATCTGTGATTCTGAGAATATCCAGGATGACCAAGGGGCCTGTGGCAACCTAARGCTGTGGCCACAGTAACCAAGGAAGACAAGCAGATTCCCTAAAAACTCCAAAGTATCTAAAAACCCAAGCCCTCAGCCTCTGCCACAGTGTGGGCTCTCACTGCAGACATGAACTCCATTCCACTGCTTTAAAAATGGAATCATAATCTAGTTCAGCTCATAAAAATACTCAGCAGTTTGATCCACAGGGTTATGTACATTTCTCAGCAATCATCACATACTTTGAAAAATGCACAGGGAAATCTGCTGAGTTCATCAAATTCCTGCTTATTTTGAAATTTTGGAAGGCTGGAACTGTCAATCTCCCTCCCTCTCCCATTCACCTTTTCCTTTGCTTCAGGAATCACACCAGCAGTAACCTGTGCCACAGCTTGTACAAAGAGTCATTTGTGCAGAGTCAAGGATGTAGGAATGTTTTGTCACTGCTGAATTTGATAGGAAAGAAGAGAAATACCAAATGCCTCTGGCACTGCTGTATTTCATCCAATCAATCACTTGGGTTTGGGGTTTTTTTGGCTTAAAATGAATGTTTTTCATTTTCTACCCTATCGGGAACCTGCAGATTAAAGGGCAGACAYATATTTCATTCTTTTCATAGCAAAAGGAAATATGTATTTTTTAGTACTGGGCAGAGGTGCCTACAAAAGCTTAAGGAAAACCTAGACCTGACAAGGTAGAAGACTGCTCAGTAAAATGTTATATTCTTGCTGCTTTTGGTAATTACCTCAAATCACTAAAGAAAGGAGACTGCAGGTCAGCATTCTCAGGTAGAGCACATACCAAGGGAGATAGCAAAACCCAAATTAACTTGGCTGTCAATGCCACAAGATCATAACAAAGGATTTCAAAATAAARCCAGAACACAAAAGAGGCACTGCAGAGAAAGGAGTCACTCTTATGTAAGGTAGAGAATCATTATTCAGAAATATCAAGACATTGTTCCATCATCCTTGCYTCAAAATCTGCATATTTTAGTAAACACTACAGACAGCTACCTTCTAAATCCACACTTTTGTTAGGAAAAGTGGCTACACAGCATGAGTGGTATTTCAAGGTCTTTTCAGCAAAAACAAGGAAAGCCATTATTTTTTGAACTAATTTAATTAAACACAACGCTCTACTTACAATTTGAAAACAATTCTAATGCCCAGAAAGGCAGTGAAAAAAAGCTCAGCTTGATAACSAAAGCTCCATGTTCGTTTCTACACAATAAATATTCAGATTGACAATATTTTTAATATTCAGCCTGAAAATGGGACTCTGAACTGTTGTGTGCACTTTGTTAAAGAAGAAAATAATGCACTTCTCTGGTCCAACTGACCAGAGTGTTGTAACAAGACAGTCACAWGGTTCAGAAAAACACAAAATAGACCTGGTAGTAACTTACATTCACACTTCTTGGTTTTACTTCTCTGTACCATTTCTGCAATCACATGATGCCAGCCTTTCTTGAAAAATATTGATTGAACAGTATGCTAAACTGACTCAGGGTAAAGTGATCATTGATTAAGCAGTCTAAAGTAACAAATGTGTCTCCAATCCCAAACTCTAAAGGATCAGTTAAGGATGGGAATTGCTGCTGGGCTGGCAGGAATGCTGCTGTGCTAGTATGAAAACTCAGGGCATGGAGATGGATAAGCTTTCCTCAAAGGTCACTGAAGGATAAAAAACTCCTGMTGAAAGCAGTGAGAGTTACCTGAATCCACCCAGAACAGGATGGTGAACTCCATACAGTTGTTGGTGTGACAAAATCTCTGGGATGGGCATGGTACTCCTAAATGCCCAAAGGCTGAGGCACTGATCCCCAAGGCACTACCTGAACATCCCAGAGTTTTTCTACAGTACTGATTAATTTGCATTTCAGCTAAAGAAAACATGCTTTTCACGTGTTTAGCTCTGCTTACCGTGTGGATAGAGTTGGTGTCATTTGGTATCTCAGGAATTTTCAGATGGAGACTTTGCAATACGTACGTTGTCTGCATCTAGCATTAGGAGAGAGGAGTTGAGATTACCTGGACAAGGAGTGCTCAGAGMAAGATCTTTTTAAATTTTATAACAATTAATAAAGATTATACCAGAGGTGAAGTGCTAACATAGCAAACTGAAAAGAATTATTGTTAGAACATCACAAGATGTTTCTTAACCTTAGTTATTTTTACTAGAAGCACAAAGAATCATTYATGTGTCTGTAAAAACAATTTCTGCATAGCTTTTTTTTGCCCAAAATGTCTTTGATATCCTGAATCATCTCAGTAAGACAGAACCAGAAAATCAAAATGAGTTCTAGACCACTTCCCCTAACCTATGTGACACAACTGCAGGATGAAACACAGCACAGTATTTAAAAAATATAATTTTTGTACAAATGAGTTTTAACTGCAATTGTAATGATTTTCTTTTCTATTATTAAGCCAAAATATTATTTGAGAGTATTCTTAGCAGTCACTTTTCATCTCTCAACTTCAAGGTTAAGTTTTATGTTTATGAGAGAACCCCCAAAGAATGTTAAATTAGAAATTTGGAACTACTCACTTGAAAATACACTGTCCAGTATGGTATTAAGGCCAGAAAGACAGGGATAATCTTGACAAGAGCTTTTACATCTTCTACTTTATCTTCTCTGAAGGGCCCTCCCCGAGACAGCTTGGCCATCTCAAAGAGGCTTTGCTTGCGAGGCTGCTGAAGCACTCCCTGGCCTTCACTTTGGAAAAGAATTTGAAATGTTCAGTTAAACATAACTGGCAATCTTGTMTTCCTTACAAAAAGCTAATGCATTTCCAAAATAAATCCCTCACGTGAGTTACAGCAACASAGCAAGGCCAGAATGGATCCCCAGCAGGGGAAACACAAGGGGAAACTCTCTGCTCTGAAGGTTTCCTTATTCCCATCCTCCCCACAGAGCCCAGCCCTGAATAACTGGCACAACTGACAATAAATAACCTGTATTTGGTGACAGTGCTTGCTAACTCATTGAATTGTTTTGCAATGTGAACACATGGAACCCCACTGCAGAGGAGGCACCTGACATCTCTTAGCAGTGATTAAATTCAACCACCAGTAYTCCATGGGCAACTCTTAAGACTGGAAACATTTTGGCTCCCCATCAAGCTACTTACAGCATTAAATGCAGGTGACAGTGCTTTTCAAATCAGAAGGCATSCACAAAAATATCTAACAGAGAAGAAAGTTAACTAATGCTTCGAAGCAGCAGAGGTTACATTACACTGTCAGAAAGWGAACTGGCAGGACAGAGCTGAGCTGGAAACACCATCTGGCTGCAGGGAGATCAGTGATCTCAATGTGTGCCTCTCTTCCATCCCTGAACTCCCAGAAAGCATCTCCAGGACTCCAATTTCCCAATTTCAGAGCAGACCTGCCCGTTATCCTGCAGTCTCTGGTGTGCCTCACTACCAGCTCGTCTGAACAAACAGTTCCAGCTCTAGGCTGATCTCTGAACCCAGGCCAGGCAGTACAGCTCATCACAAACCTGTTGGCTGAATGTTCCACGTGGCTCTTCTTGGAGCAACAAGAATATGTGAGGATTTTGAACATGTCTGTGAAGGCACTACCATCAGGAGGTTTGGTGATGAAGAAGCTCTGCCCACATAAGAAAACCATGAATGAAATCCCAATGCAAACCGTTGGGATGCTGTATCCGATCACAAAGCTCACGTTCTGCTGAATGTAGGCAATGCCTCCCAGAGACAGAAGAGCTCCCAAATTAATGCTCCAATAAAACCAATTAAAAAATCTCCTTGTGGCTTCTGGGCCTCGGTCTTTGACCTGGAAAAGATAAAGAGCAACTCATTCAGTTTCTGAAGAAAATAAGGCTGAACAGAATTAGAACCTTGAATTAAAATTCAAACAAGTTCAATGCCCTGAAGAGTTCAGGTTCATTTAGAGTCACACTGAAATGATTGAAGTGTTTTGGGCTTCACATGGTATTTGATGAAATGACACCTTAGTGAGCCCCACCATTATGTGAGTAACCTTCCAGAAGCTCAGCACAGGGATATAAAAGCTGAAGCTACTCAGACACAGCTTCCCCAGAGAGGTTGTTATTATTTCTACTGCCCTGACTCTCACTGGGTCATTTCTCTACACAAAGCTCCCTCAGATTAACATCCCATAGYCCACAGAAGTTTAAGTAAGTATTTTTTAGTAAGAAAAAGTTAAGCTACCTAAAATTCATGTATTGCCACAACTGCTTCCTCTAACCATATACACACAACAGTTAATTCTATTCCATTTTCTAACCCTCAAATGAATACTTGGTAACTAAACAACAAATTTACATTTTAATACAGTCCTAATGCCTCTCATCAGAACACAAATTGAGGACTTATCATTCTGACCTTTAAAAAAATTAATTAAACTTGGGCTGCCTGAGTGTCACAAGGCCTCAGTAAACATTTATCCCTCTAAGTCAGTATTGTTCATGGAGTTATTTTTCTGCTTGAAGCTCTCAATGTCTCTCCAGTGAAAGTAAAGGCATCCCTGGTTTACAGAATTATCCTGTACAGTTTTYACCATCACTCTTTATTATTGTCTACTGTAAGTTAAGCCACGTTTTGTAATTAAGTCCCAGGAACCCAGCATCACTCATAAGAGGTGATGTAAGAGAAATTATGCAAATTGAAATTTGAAATGCATTAGAAAGATCAAGTAGTGCATAGAAGAATCCATAACGCTGTATTTGTCAGTGGTTTATGACTGAAAGGCCATTAACAGTGCCTAGAAAGTCAGTGCCATGCCCCAGTCTTGCTGAGTCAGTTATTTTTCATTTGTAATTGCAAATTTCCCCTCCTCATTTGCCACATCTTCARAAGATCCATGTTTAGTTTGCAATATGAAAAGGCTGTGTCTTGAAATGAGTTTTTAACWCTGTCAGTTCAGATTAACAGCTTCAGGTTTCCCAGTGGTGCCCAAACCCATCTGGATTATTCAGACAAGCCCAACAAAAGCAATATTAAAAGATCTATTCCTGTGCATAGTTAATAGCATTGTTAGGCATTCAGGGACATCTTACAATGTCAAATGTAATCCTGGAGACTAAACCCAAGAAATTCTCCCTCTCCAAATTCAACTTGGTAGTCATTTCCTAATTTTAAGAGTCATCAGCTGCAGCAGTGTATCAATCTAGGAATTACTTCCAAATCCCAATGAGCAGCAGGATATTACAAACAATTAGATGGAACACAGTGCTCCAACTTGTGTAAAGTGTTACCAATCTATTTGATGAAGTTTCCATTTCTTCATCACAAGGTCTCAGTTCTSTTATTTCTGCAAGGAAGATGACTTCTCATCCTCCCTCTTACACATGACCTTGCTGACATCTCTACAAAGGAAAGCTGGGAGAAGAAAGGCAACTTTGATCCCGGGAAGAACAGGGAAGCACAGCGTGATGCTTCTATCAAGCATTATCCCAGGCTCTAAGCATTAGCTCCTGAGAAACTTCCTGAGCCAAGGATGGCTTCTCTCTACTTAATCAATGCAGCAGCTCTCCTCTCCACCAACCTGTGTAACCTGTCTCTGAACCCAGGTCAGCTTTTAGAATCCATAAGATCCCGTGGCAAAGAGCTCCCCAGGTAATTACACAGTGGGAAGAACCATCTCCTTTGCCTGCTTTGAAGCTGCCCTGTCCAAGTCTCATTCCTTTTGCCTTGCTCCAGGAAACAGCACAGAAAGCTGAGCTCCAGCCCTTTCCTGGGCCATTGCTGCCTCTCTCCCCTGACTGCTGTTTGCACAAACCACTGTCACATCTTCCTTTTTGTTGCCTTTTCAGAGGGAGGAAATGTAGACTGATTCAAGATTCCTCACCTGGAAACTACTGACCATGTCTGTGACCCTTCCTGGAAACTTCCTTCATGTCCAGAGTCCTTTTTGAAACAGTGACCAAAAGGAAGGCAGTGCTTAGGGGACAGACACACCACAGACTTACAATGGAAAGAATTCATTTCTCCTTTTCTATCAAAGTATATATTTGCACTAAAAATCACATCTCAGCCACGTCTGAAATGACACTATGGCATTTAACTGACAAACATTAATAACTGAATAAAAACCACACTGGACTACCTGGTGGAATATCTTCTCAAAGACAAAGAACTATGAAGATGTCTTGTCAAAACCAGAATTAAAAGGCAATTCTGTAGCTCTTTTCAAACATTCCACTGAGTGCCCAAAATATCAGCAATATTACATTTACAGCAGATCACTAAAAGTTTCCCCTCCTGGCTGTTACTTGAGCTGTGTGACAGCACAGAATATCTTCATAAGTAAACACTACATTTTAATAAGGAGCTAAGAAGAAGAAAGCCATGTCAGAATTTTATTATTTTACTTCTATCAAGCACAAATTTTTTTCCACATAACTGCAGGAGCTCTTTCCCCCTTATGCTTGCATTATTTTCAATCAGCCAAGCAGAAAGAAAAATCTATCACTCCCTCTGCTCAATTGCATCTGTGCTGAAGCATAGCAGCACTCTCCTCACTCTGCTTGTGC